TCCTTTCCTTGTTTCCTCTCCTCTCATTGTGTCCATATCCAGATTATCCTTTTCTCCTCTCCTCGATTTGTTTCCTCTCCTTCCTTTCCTTGTTTCCTCTCCTCTCATTGTGTCCATATCCAGATTATCCTTTTCTCACCTTTTCTCCTCTCCTCGATTTGTTTCCTTTCCTTATTTCCTTGTTTCCCCTCCTCTCATTGTTTCTATATCCAAATGACTTCTCTTTTCCTTGTTTCCTCTCCTCTCATTGTTTCTATATCCAAATGACTTCTCCTTTCCTTGTTTCCTCTCCTCTCATTGTTTTTATATCCAAATGACTTCTCCTTTCCTTGTTTCCCCTCCTCTCATTGTTTCTATATCCAAATGACTTCTCCTTTCCTTGTTTCCTTTTCTCACCTTTTCTCCTCTCCTCCATTTGTTTCTTCACCTTATTTATCTTTCCTCTTAGTTTCCCTCTCTTCTTCCTTTCCTTGTTTCCTCTCCTCTCATTGTTTTCATATCCAAATGACTTCTCCTTTCCTTGTTTCCTCTCCTCTCATTGTGTCCATATCCAGATTATCCTTTTCTCCTCTCCTCGATTTGTTTCCTTTCCTTATTTCCTCTCCTTCCTTTCCTTGTTTCCTCTCCTCTCATTGTTTCTATATCCAAATGATTTCCTTTCTCTCCTTCCTGTCCTGCAGTATTTATTGTTCTGTTACCATAAACACAACGCCTTGTCCTAACAGTTTTTCCTCTAAGGATTTAGATGAAGTTTTTTAATCCCTTTTTCCCGGGAGAGATCTCCGACATAAGCTCATTTGTTTGTGCCGTCAATAAATAATTTCCTCGGCAGATGTCCCTGGTAGTTTATAGTGGTTATAACCACACAGAGAGGCGGACAAACGGTGCGACATATTAAACTTTCACCATTCCTTCCTGCACCCATTCCTCTATGAACCACCTCTGCAGATTTACGGCGGTGAGGTCTCGGTTCAGGCCGTTTGGATAAACATGGTGTCCTTGAGCAGAAGCTCTTAGTCATATTGCTGCAGCTCTTCTAGAAGGGTCTCCCTCCAAGAAATCTGCCTTGAGTCATTTGGAAAATGCCCGAGTCAATATTGCAATATTAAATTAGATTAGACACATTTTTAAAGATCCCCCGGCAGCCGAAGAAAGAAGCCTAAAAGCACGCAACAGGATAACAAATTGAACATCATTACAGTATTTTTTAGATTAGATTAGATGTACAGCTTTAATATTATCTAGTGTCCAGATGAGGCAACACCCTGTACACGAGCAGCTCATATTACTGTTGGCAACCTCCCACTTGAAATGTTCTTTTAGTCAAGTCTGTAAAGTTCTTACCAAATCATCTGAGGGGAATTTCTTGTTTGTTTTTAACTTGTGATGTGTCATTTAGTACTTTGAGCTGATTGTATGTTGTATGAAAAGTGCTATATAAATATTATCATATATGTAAATATGATGTATATATATTTATCTGTGTGCAGGCGGAGGTGCGGACCAGTTTCGAGGAGCTTTACCGCGTCATGTCTGCGCGCGAGGACTTTCGCTGGATGATGCTGAGGATCAAACGCATGGCCGATCCGTGGGTCAGCGCCATTCGCTCGTTGGCCAGCAAGCAGAACCTGGTCCCGCGCCGCAGGAAGAAGGTGGGCATCGAAACACCGGAGAAATCAAGGGGGGTCTGCTCCCAGTCAGGAGAAAAGGGAGGAAGTGACCTCCCAGGCGGTGTTTGTGAGCTTGGGTGCATTGGAGGTTTAATTAAATGGTCACACATCGTTAGTTTGAACTCTCAGGTGACTTTGGATTCATGGTTTTTAGGGTAGAACTTCAGTCCAAATGCATTAGTCATATTTAAATAAGCTCCACATGCAACAAGGAGAAGAATACATACATACAACATAGCTTAAACTTGGTTGTAGCTGCTGCTAAGTATACATCTTTGGTATCTTAGCTCTCCCTCCTTCTTCTTAATCTATTCAGCAGTCTATCAATAATTAAGTGCTCTTCCCTCCAGATAATTTCAAAGCCAGTTCTTTATTTCAGCCGCTAATATCTTTTGGCTATTAATCCGCACATATTAACCCTTCCCTGGTGCGCCGTGGGACTGTGGCTATAGTCAAGCTGTCAACAATGAAAAATGCGCCGGTCACTTCAAACAAAGTCTGCTATTACTTCCTACTCCTGCAGCGGAACATTGTGTTCCCCTTAGCTACTGAAAGCCATCCTGTGTGTGTGTGTGTGTGTGTGTGTGTGTGTGTGTGTGTGTGTGTGTGTGTGTGTGTGTGTGTGTGATGTATTTGTTTTCTCAGCATGTGCACCTGACACAGGGACAGATGGGAACTGCTTTCCCTACTAAGATAAACATGTTTTTTTAAATCGAAACCAGTTGGGTGTGATTTATTATTCAAAAGGCAGTTTTTTTTAGGTATTCTCAACTGGTTTTTTCTACATTTATCTGTGAAGGAATGGCACATTCAACACCCTTATCTTTAACTGTAACCTTAGCTCTTGTAGATAGCTTATGTTGCATTAGCCTTGACTAGACCGTGTATTTCCTCTTATCAAGTATGCTCTATTCTTATCATGTGTTTCCATGGAGTATTCCAGCAATAATCAACATAAGGACAGACTGTTTATTCATACAGAGAAAAGGGAAGTGGAAAACCTACGTCAAGATATATTACACCTCATTAACTAACTGTGATGACAATTTCCTTGCTCCTCGGTCAACAGTCAAAGGTGTTATCGTCATATGCTCAAAGCTACAGTGGAGAAATGGAAATGAAAATCTTCTGACCTGAGCTCCTCCAACAATGCAACATATATAATGAAATAGAAAATAAAAAATAGTGCAAAAAGTCAATATACATGTCAATAGAATATGATATGTACAAGAACAGAATTTGAAGTACATTAAGACGTTGATATCTATTTATATATATTAGTATATATATATATTTTAAGTATATTGCAAGATGACAACATGAAGGTTTATCGGGGAATTTCTAACGTCACTCATTTTCCTTTCCCTACTTGTCCTCAGGTCCTGGTTCATTTGGGTCTGCTGACCAAGGAGTCGGGCTTCAAAATTGCCGAAAACGCGTTCAGCGGAGGCCCGTTGGGGGAGCTGGTGCAGTGGAGCGACCTGATCACCACGCTGTATCTTCTGGGACACGACGTCCGCATCTCCGCCTCTCTGGCCGAGCTCAAAGAGTCAGTACATCTGGGATATTCCTGGAGTTAATACTGCATGCAGGGGATAATCATTCTCTCATGTTCGCCCTACACAAAGGTCCTAACACGTGACGTCAATGGAGTACTCTTTTCAACCAGCAATAATAATAATAATAGCGATTGTTGTGAGTCCAGATGTACGTCTGCACTGCACATGCTTTAGTTCAGATCAGTGTTTCCCACATAATTTGATTCTATTTGTGGGGGCAGCACGTTCTTGTTACTCTGTGTTTCGTTACTAATGAGTGAAACACACCGGAGTTGAGGATCCGTGGGGTTTATTCTCCCAAAATATAATTTACAATTCAGGCATTTAGCAGACTCCTTATTCCAAAGAGACTTTCAATGACCATTACAGGGACATTCTCCCTGGAGTAACCGAGGGCTAAATGCCTTGCTCAAGGGCACACTAGTAGTGGTGTTCCAGGCAGGATTTGAACTCGCAGCCTTCCGATCATCAGCCCACCTCACTATCCATTAGACCACCAAAAAAAAAAAAATATTGCTTTTTTTTATGAGATCCATTTGCGGCGGACGATATTTCATTTTGGCNCGCAGCCTTCCGATCATCAGCCCACCCCACTATCCATTAGACCACCAAAACAAAAAAAGATTTAATTTTTTTTTATGAGATCCATTTGCGGCGGACGATATTTCATTTTGGCAAACCCGCCACAAATAAATCAATTTATGGGAAACACTGCAGATATCAAACGCTCTGAGGGCACATGTACTTCAGGTGAGCCACTTCAGTATCAAATAAGATGCAAATAATAAGAAAAAGAAGGCACTATGGTCTTGGGATTGCTTTTTCTGAATGCATTGTTTAAGTGTCTATAAAGTCTATACCATTCAAGTGTCTTCCCCATCTTTACAACCAGAGGGGAAGACGAATAAAGAGCTTGCTGTCACTCTACAATCCCCCGTCTTTTGGTTACCAGCTGCAGAATATAAAAAGTTGAATTGAATGTCAATCTTTTGTCCCCAGTATTATGCGAAAGGTCATGGGGAACAAGTCCAGCTGCCCGACCCAGGGTGATAAGGTGGTGGAGCTGATCTACATCGACATCGTGGGCCTCACGCAGTTTAAGAAGACACTGGGGCCGTCCTGGGTGCATTACCAGTGAGTACATCTGCAAAAACACACCTGCTTCGGACACTCAAATGTATAAAGTTGAACATTTCTGTTTGAAAATGTCTAAAAAAGACTAGGCGGATACCATATTTATTTATTTTTTTTGTACATTTTGACAATAAATGGACCTTTTTAGCGAATTAACACTTAAAAAATACATATTGTGTCAATCAAACCCCGCCCTTCACCTGTTGCTAGGCAAGCTTAGTCACTTTTAATCTCCTCCACAATGACATCCAGCTCAACCAGTTTTCTGCAGGTGACTGTTTCGCAACTCCGAGACAGTTTAATATCCTGCTCCGCAAAGCCCTTTCCATTATCTCCTAAATTAATTCAGTAATTTGTACAGTTCCCTAACCTTGTGCTGCCGCTGCCAGCTGTGGTTTAAAAGCTTCCCTCACGTGTTCAAAGGGCACCGGGTTGAGTCTTGTCTGGCTCTCGCTGAGACAATGAGTCTATTTTCTGCTCAGGCATTACCGCAATGTCCCAAAAGGCCGCTGCAGCGTGTGTTGTTTGCAACGAGTCTATTCTCCTCGTCTTGATTGCTCCGCTGAGGACCAAAGTCTCGCCGGTTTGTTTTGAAAAAGCTCTCATCAGCTGACAGGAAAAGCGACAGGACAATAAGTCTGGAAACCCTAATGGCTGATTCGCCCCGTCTCGTCACCAGGTTTTGTTTGTCCGCGACAGAACACCTTCAACTGGTGCCCGGAGGAAATTGATTCAGCCTCAGCGGGATGTAACGTCCAGCTGGGCTTTCTGCATTATTTCTCCAAAGCATTATCGAAAGCTTACAGTATGTCAAACGTAATGTGACTGGTTTGTAAAGGAGAATGTAGATGTGTAAGCTTATCAGTTTCCCAGCATCGCCTTATAAGGGTCTTTCACTCTCCTGTTAGTAAGTCAAATACTTTATGCCCTGCGAATCCCTTTATGAAGACCTCGAGAGAAAGATATCTAATGCACTGAGAACGACAGATTTGGTTGCTTTTCACGCCAGCAAACAATATGAATAAACTGTCACAATTATTCCCTTTCATCTGGTTCATTCTTTCAGTTTAGGAACAGGGCATTTAAGGCCCATTTGGGATGAATGTTTTTCGCCCGGTTTTACAGTGCTGTAACGCCGTGTTTTTGGTGAAATGAAAATTCGCCGGGCTGTTGTTTTCTGGGTATAAGCTCGAGGCAATGTGGCCCGACTGTCATTTAATCCTTTCATCCGATAACTGCATTAACCCTTCTGTTATCCTTGGGGTCAATTTGACCCCATTCAATGTTTAACGTATCTAATAAAATGGTTCACATTATTTGTTTTGCTTAGTATTTCATGACTTTTCCTCATTTAGTGAGGACTAATGGGTAAAAATAAAATGAACATGAAGATCTTTTTGAAATGTCCTGTACGCACTTTGCACGCATCGGTGTTCCTTGGGGTCAAATTGACCTGGCTGTTTTAGTAGTATAAAACATATACAAATGTCGAAATGTTTCACACATTTCTGTTGATTGTGTAGGATGATATTGAGGTGACTATTACATGCAAATGTATCATTGTAAAAAAAACAACCCTCTGCTTTAGTTATTGGTCCATTGGTCAACATCAAAACATTTTATTTCAATCAGTGAGATTTTATGGTGATTTATATATTTTTCGATATTCACATAATAGGAATTCTAGATGTATAAAGCAGAGTCCTGCACGGGTCTGATTTTCAAGACCCGCTCCCGCCCCGCACCCGCGACGTGCAATACCGAACCCGCCCCGCTACCCGCACATATTGCCAATTAGTTCCGCAACCCGACCCGACCCGCCGGCACAAGATCCGCAACCCGACCCGAACCCGCATATATATAAGCAGTGAAAACGTGCAATTATTAACACACGCAGTTGCATATTTCTCTCAAAAAGCCTGGGATGTTGGTTATTTTCTGCATCTAGGATGACACCAAAAGCCTCCCAGATGTTGGATTTCTCTCCTGAGGAAGAGTTATTGAAAATGCTGTATTCTCCGCTATAGAGAGCTTCACCTCAGCCAATCAGAATGTGGCGCGCTCAGCAGCAGATTGATGCGCTGCAGAGGTTATGATTATGCTCGGTCCCGCGGGGGAGAGGCCTGAGGATTTAAACATTAAACTAAATTATTATTATTTAAATATATTTATTATGCAACACCCGCGACCCGACCCGCATCATCTTCGTTTTACCCAGAACCGAACCCGGAAAAAAGCGTTTGAAAAAATACCACCCGCGAATCACCTTTTTCGCGGGTACCCGACCCGATGCAGGACTCTGACACAGATATTATGGACATGAATTCAACCAGACTTGGCTCCTATCCATTTCCTCCACTTTCATCTCAGTTTTAAGGGGTTTACATAATCCAATCAAGCATTTCTAAAACCACCACTCTTCTCTCCTAATTGGCCCAGATAGCTGCACCACATCGCCTCCAACGCTCAGGAGCCGTATGCTAATTCCACTCCTTAATAATCTTCTTCTCTGCAGTATCTCACCCTGCCGTCTCCCCTCTGACAGCCAAGCCCACTAATCCGGCTCGAGGACGGCTTGTTAAAACCCACTGGGTTTTATATGTGAAGAAATGTTTTGATTTTAGGGGGAAGACTCCAATCCATCTCATGTCTGTACTGTACATATGAAA